CAAGCAGAACACGAGCCCCCCGCGCTGGTCCCTGACAGACAGGAAGCGCGAGCGGATGCAGATGAGGCTGAAGGCCAGTGCACTGCTGCAGAGGGCAGAGCCCAAGCCTGAGCTGGGCTTTCCACCTTCCTCTGTCCCTCTGTGCCCCCAGGAGGTGCCAGCAGCTTCCCCAGCAGCGAGCGTGGCTGGAGGAGAAGGCACAGAGAACGGGCAGCAGCCCGTGGGGCAGGCTGGGCACAGTGACGGCAGCGACACGGAAGCAGCCCTGCCTGAGGACACCAAGCCCCAGTTCTCCAGCCTGAGTCATTATGATAACTCTGAGAACGGGAAGTGGGCCACGGATGATATCCCAGATAACCTGAACTCCATCAATAAGCAGCCTGAGGAGGCAGAAGCCATCATGAGCTCCCCGGCTTCCCCCACGTACAGCACCCAGTTTGAAGCTGCTTTACCATGTACACCCATGGAGAAGCTGATGGCTTGTCAGGAGAAGAACCCAGTGAGTGGCCTTACCGAGTATTCTCAGTACACGTACCAGCACTGTGAGTTTGCCATGCTGGAGCAGAGTGGACCCTCTCACGAGCCACGGTGAGAACATTTCCTGCCTTTCCTGAGCTGTCTTCTTGCTTAAAATGCTCTTAGCTTCCCCTAACTTTAGCCCCTCGACTTGGTACTGAAGGGCCTGCTCCCTAATGCTTGTTTCAGAAGGATTAGCTTAGTTGATCCCTTGCACCAGCTTAAAAAAGCCAAGCCAACCCTCCCCAGGAAACAAAGGCTAAAATGTAGCCCTGGTTAGTCCAGTTTTGGCAACCCTGCACCTCATTCTGAGCAGTGAAGGTGGGGTTCACCTCTTCAGGTCCCATCTGATTGACTCACTTGGCTTTCATTTGGATTGTATAGGGGGGAAACTGGTATTTCTGAGCTACCTCCCAAGATGCTCTCCCCCTGGAAATGGTAGAAGGGGAGCCCAGAACAAAGGGCTTGGGTGCAGCTCTCCTGGCTTAGGGGAGGTGAACCCGCTCTGGCTGTTTCTGGGGTCAGAGTGGCCTCTGAGCAGAGCACGAAGCGTGACACAGTCAGTGTCTGGAGTCCTGCTTCCCCTCGTGCCACCCTGGCTGTTCCTGAGCACCGCTCAGCTGGTGAGAAGCTCTTGATGTGCCACACTGGAACATGTCAATGGAGCCGCTAGACAGGAAAATTGGCCTCATTTCTAAAGATGAAGCCCTATTTTTGTTGGAAAGGAGGGATCTGAATGGCTTCAGCCCCATAACCCCTCTCCACATCTGGTTTGACCCTTGGAAGCAGGTTTCCTCTGCGTTGGGTTGGAGGGCAGGAGTGAAGCAGCGTGTGTTAGACTCCACAGGGAGCAGAGAGACAGAAACGGTAAAGGCAAGAGGTTTATGTGAGGCAGCACCTCCCTGAGGTGCTGGGAATGCACTGGATAGCCAGGGAAACTGCCAGAGGGACGAGTGACCCACACCACCAGGTACAGATGGAACAGCACAGGCTGCTTTTAAGCTTTCCTCATCCCTGTGCAGGAGACGCAGCTGCTCTCTGCATAGAGCCACTACGTGTTCCTGGGGCTCATGAACAAGGCAGCCTGTTCCTTCAGAACAGGAGCTGGAGCTGCCCCTCTGGCCTGAGCAGCTCTGGAAGGGCCACAGAATGGGGCAGAGCTGTTGGAGCACCCTGGGTATTCGTGTGTTCTGCACGTGGCAGCGTGGGTTTGCTCTCCCTGCCAGCATCAGCTGTTCCTTCTCACCCGAGTCCCAAGAGCAGTCTCGCTCGCTCTGAGAAGACACCTCTACCTCTGGATTTACGTCTTTGCTGTTCTCTTCCCAAGGTTTAAGTTCCAGGCAGTGATCAATGGGCGCCGCTTCCCACCAGCAGAAGCAGGGAGCAAGAAACTCGCTAAACAGGAGGCAGCAGCTAATGCTATGAAGGTCCTGATGAGTGAAGCAGAGAATGGAAGGCAGGGGGGAGTTAAATGTGAAGAGCCCTTTCCCTCTGGGAGCTCTGAACCCGAACTGGTGAGTCTTGTCTTTCCTTGGGAGGCTGCTCAAGCAGGGGTTAGGCTGCAACTGGTTTCTTCCCATCTTCTTGCTGCAGCCTTTGCAGCCGGAGCCAGAGCCCTCACCTGCAGCAGCTCCCCTCAGCCTGCTCCCTGGGAAGCATCCCATCAGCATATTGATGGAGTATGGGCAGAAATCAGGGAACACGATTGAATTCCAGCTGCTCTCTCAGGAAGGGCCACCTCACGATCCCAGGTATGGCAGAGGGGAGGTGTCAGCTTTGGGGAAGCCAAGAAACCCTTTCTTTCCTATCCTTCCTCTTCAGCATGCTCCCCATGTTCCTGGCCTCATCACTGACCTGGCTGAGTGCTGCTCTGATCCAAGGAGTCTGGGCATGGCTCCTCCAAGACATCTGCCTCCAGGAGGAGACCAAACCCAACACCCTTTCTCAGAGAAAGGACAGCGTTTCATCTACCAGAGCAGGAACAGGTTCCAGGCCTGTAGCCTATCTGGTAGTGCTCTCCTGGGCATGGTTAGGGCCATTGTGGTAGATGTCAATTAGAGATGATGCAGAAGAACTTAACTTGAACTGGGAGACAGGGATAGTAACCAGATGGAGACACCTCTGCTTATATGCTTCTCATATGCTATAATGTCCTGTCAGGTTCAGCTACTGTGTGAAAATGGGTGACCAAATTTTCCCTGCTGTGGTAGGAAACAGCAAGAAGGGAGCAAAGCAAATGGCAGCAGAAGTTGCTGTGAAGATTCTTTCTGGAGAGTCTGTACCTCATGTCTTGCCTGAACAGGTACAAAGAGCAAGTGGTTTGGGTTGGGTTCCCCCCCCCTTAATTCATCTTTCCCCGGGTTTCACCCCACAAGGCCACGTGCTGGCTCTAGCAGAGGTTTGCTGCTGCCTTTGGCCTGGGTAGTTCCGGCTGCTCAGTATTTAACAGCCTTCTCCTGTCTCTCTCTGCTCTAGCCTGTGGTGAAGCCCCAAGGTGACCAGTCCATGCACAGCTCTGCACCATGGATTCCCGCTCCAGATGAATCCAAGGCGGCAAAAACAAAGGGTGTTGGGGAGCTCATCAAGTACCTTAATGTCAATCCTGTCAGTGGCCTGCTGGAATACGCCCGCTCCAATGGCTTTGCTGCAGAGTTCAAACTCATTGACCAGTCAGGACCTCCCCATGACCCCAAGTAAGTCACTGCAGCTGCCGAGGAGGAGGCTTTGCGCTGGAGCTGTTGTCCAAGCAGAATTCCTGGTGCCATTTGAGCTGGCAACAGGCCGAGCTGCTGCCTCGGGACGACACAAGCTGCCGCCACTCCCCTCTCTGGTTAAAAGCCAGCCTGAAGCCTGTGGGTTTCTTGCTTCCTCAGAGCTCTGCTGCTCCCGTTACAGGTTTGTGTATCAGGCGAAGGTTGGAGGCCGCTGGTTCCCGGCTGTCACTGCTCACAGCAAAAAGCAGGGCAAGCAGGAGGCAGCGGATGCAGCCCTCAGAGTCCTCATTGGGGAGACCGAGAAGATTGAGCGCATGGAAGGGATGAACATCCCTGAGGTAAATGCTCTTCCTCCAAAGCTGGGGCTGCTTTTGTAGCCCTGCTTGTCCTGTGCTTTCAGTCTGGCAGAAAAACGCCTCCAAGATCAACTGTGAGGCCTTTGTTCTCGGAAGGTGTCGCTAAGCTGCCTTCCCTGAAGTGGGTTAGGCTTTTCCTCAGGGCACAGACGTGCTCTTCCTTCCTGCTGGCCTCTGCTTTAAGGCTGAATTATCATCAGCTTCTTCCACAAGCTACTGAAACGTGTTCCTGTGGTGGAACAGAACAAGGTCCTCTTGAATTCTGTGACTTCTCCCCACCTCTCCTTCCACATTCCTTCGTGCTGCATTAAAATCTGTGTCAGCTCAAAAACTCGGGAGCAGAGAAGAGCAAAGCTCTGGCTGTGTCAGGAATGGCTGTCCCAAACCTGTGCTGCTTTAGATCCGGGTTGTGTGAGCTCTTAAAAGCCGTGTGCCAGGCTGCACAGCTGAGCACAGCAGCTGTGCCTCTAAATAGAAAAGCCATCAGGGAGGATTTGTCACTCAGCAGTGCCAGAGGAGGCAAGCGCCTGGCTGCAATGGGAGGGACTCCGCAGCCTCCTCACAGGCAGGCACGGAAGGAATTCCTTCAAAGCCAGTGACAGATTTCCTTGGCTGAGGCTGTGTCTGGGAGCAGGCGAGATGGGTCGTGTTGGGGGTTTCCCCTGGCGGTCTCAGGAGGCCGCTCCTCAGCCCGTGTCACTTGCTGCTGGCGCTTTGTGGTGGTGCTCAGAGCAGGCCTTTCCCAGAAATAGAAGCATAGAACGTGTTGGAAAGGACCTTAAAGCTCCTCCAGCTCCAACCCATGCCCCGAGCAGAGACACCTTCCACTAGAGCAGGTTGCTCTGAGCCCCTGTGTCCAACCTGGCCTTGAACACTGCCAGGGATGGGGCAGCCACAGCTTCTCTGGGCACCCTGTGCCAGCGCCTCAGCACCCTCCCAGGGAAGAGCTTCTGCCTTTTCTCCAACCGAAATCTCTCCCGTTCCAGTTTGAACCCATCACCCCTTGTCCTGTCGCTCCAGTCCCTGATGAAGGTCCCTCTGCAACATCCTTGTAGCCCCCTTCAGACACTGGAAGCTGCTCTGAGGTCTCCACGCAGCTTTCCTTCTCCAGGCTGAACAGCCCCAATGCTTTCAGCCTGTCTTCCTATGGGAGGTGCCCAGCTCATCCTCACTGCCCCCCTCTATGCCTACAAGAACTTCACCCACCCCTGGACATGACACTGTCCATGCACTCAACCCCAGCTGCGCTGCCCGTAGCTCCTGTTTTCTGTGTTCCTGCTGCTCCGTGTTAGCACCTTCTTGAGCTGTTCTGTTCCATGAGCTCTGAGCAGTCCTGCTCTTGTGTTCCTTGTTGCAGCTCCCCGTGAGTGGCAGCACCCTGCACGACCAGCTGGCTATGCTGAGCCACCAGCGCTTCAACACCCTCACTGCTCGCATCCAGCACAGCCTGCTCGGGCGGAAGATCCTGGCTGCCATCATCATGCGGAAGGGGAACAAGGGCCTGGGAGTGGTGGTCAGCATCGGGACGGGTATGGACAGGTTCTTCCAGCATAAGCTGGGCTCTCACTTCCCTGCTAGATTCCCTGTCAGGGAATGGCTGTTGCTGAAGGCTTCCTCAGGGAGAGCAGGAAACATTCCCAGGGCTCGCGTGGTGTCACAAGTGCTGTGGGTATAGTGAGAACAACGTGGGGGTGCCTGCAGCTGTGCTGCTCCTCATCCCTGCTCCCGCTGCTGCCTGCTGCTCTGTGCATCAGAGCACGGGTTCCTCGCACTGTACAGCTCCTCCCAGCTGCGTGGACCTCAGCTCCCTTCCTAGTGAGCTGTCACACATCCACCCGGAGTGGATGGCTGGAAACCACTTGGTAAGGGCCACTGCCGCTAAACCTGGGGCAGTTTAACTCTCTGTTGTCCCTAAAGTAGTGTCTTTGTCCCTTTGTTTTCCTCAGTGCTTGGATCAGGATAATGATTTCATAGTCAGGGGGGTGCTGCTGCTGCTCAGGAGCCCAAAGTAAAACCTGAAGCAACTTGAAAGCCTCCCTCTTCCTGTGGAGCTTGTGTTGACTTTGCCCCTTGCCTGGTTCTGACCTGTGTTTCAGGTAACCGGTGCGTGAAGGGCGAGGAGCTGAGCCTGAAGGGGGAGACTGTGAATGACTGTCACGCAGAAATCATCTCTCGAAGAGGCTTTGTGAGGTGAGAGAAGGGAAAACCTGCAGGAGAAGCACCTGCCAGGAGGTGCTGACCCATCTGAGAGGGATGGAGCTGCGCTGGGAGAGGCCGGGATCCTCAAACACTACTGTTTACCCACGTGGTGTTAAATAGAGGGAAGTTATTTCTGATAAGAAGGGGCCATGCCTGAATGGTGCCCAAATTAGCACCGAACTGGAGAGTTGCCAAGAGCCCAAGGGCTGCATCTGATGTACCTAAAATAAAGCAGCTTGCAGAGGCTGCTTGGCTGGCGCACGACGCGCTGCTTCAGTGTGAGCCCAGCTCTGCCCGAGCCCAGGTGCTGGGGACTTTGCAGGCCAGGCCCTCCTCTGGCCTTCCTGGGTCTGCAGGAAAGCATCCCAAATGTGTTGGTGTGGATAAAAGAAATCCCTTTTCATTGCTTGGAAAGGGGTTTTCCCAACTAAACTGCGGAACTGTTCTCTTTTCTAAACAATTCCCCTTGGCACTTCTTAAGCTCGAGTGAGCTGAAGTTGGACTAGCCTTGGGAATGTCTGCTCTCCCAGTTATGGCCAACAAAACCAGCTGCTTTCCTAAAGCCTTTGCCTGCTGCTGCCGTGCTCTGCATTCCTCAGCACTGGAAGGTGTTGAGAGCAGGTCCCTGGGAAGGTGTGAAGTCAGAGGATGCCATTTCTCACTTACTGTCTGCCTCAGCTCTTCATCTTGACAGTCGTGGCTGCTGTGGCACAGCAGAGCCCACAGATCCGCAAAAAGTGAGCTCCCCCAAGGCCCTGCACAGGCTCCACTGGAGCCTCTGGGAAGCTGCAGGTTTTCTTTAGTCCTTGATGCTGCATTGGAGACCTCAAGGTTTTTTGCCTGTCCCTGGACAGAAGCAGCCACAAAAGGCCCAGTCATTGTAAACAGATCATGGGCTGTGCTAATAATATCTCCTGTGTTGAGCTGCCTGCGGGGCTGTTTGCTGCTAGTGCAGACGTGGTGCTGACTAAAGGTGCTGGGTCAACAACCTTGAAGCCTTCTTCACTCGCAGCTCAGGCACACGCAAGCAGCGCCCAACCAGGCTCCTTTCCCTCTCCTGTCAGTGCCTGTTGTCTGCTGTGTGGCCTCTGCATGGCAGGAAATCTGCTCCATCTCCTGTTTTTTCTGTAGCAGCAGAAACTCTTGGCTTCCAAGTATTTTTGGCCACAGCTCTGGGTCTTTGCTCTCCCATGCAGCAGGATCAGGCGACTTGGTGCAACAGAGGTGGAGTTTGGGACCCTCGTGTCCTGGGCACAGGCAGTGGTGGGACTGAAGCGTTCCTTGTCTGAGGAGCAAAGCAGCCTCCTGATGTGAAGTTGTTCCTTTCAGGTTTCTCTATAGCGAGCTGATGAAGTATGACCCCTCTGATCCTTCCTGTGCAGAAGAGAGCATTTTTGAGGCAGCAGGAGGGAAGAGACTCAAGATCAAGCACGGTGTTACCTTCCACCTCTACATCAGGTTTGTCGGTGGCACTGTCTCCCCCTGGCCCTGGCTGTTCTCTGAGGGTCGGTGCTAATTTGGGGAGCATTTGTTTTCTAGCACAGCACCGTGTGGAGATGGGGCACTCTTTGATAAGTCCTGCAGTGATCAGGCGAGCGTGGCGGGGCAGGCTCAGCATCAGCCCCTCTTTGAGAACCCCAAACAGGGCAAGCTGCGGACCAAGGTGGAGAACGGTGAGTGCATTCACTCCCCTCATGGGGGGGTGGCTCTAAGTCCTCTTCTCGGAGCCTTCCTGGAGCTCCAAAGCTTCCTCACCCCTCTCTTTGTGGTGCTTTTGTGGGATTTGAAGCACTCGAGAATCAAGGGAGGTGGGGGAAAGGTGGGGGAGCATTAGAGAGAGTCCCTTCTCCTTCCCACCTCTGGCTGTTGGACTGCCACACTAGCAAGAGTACAGCTGATGTTTGCTGCCAAGCTTGGATGTCTCTGCCCTCCCTTTCAAGCTCTCTGTCGTTCTGCTGCAGCAATGTTAAAACTGACTCCTCTGGCCTCACTACATGGCTTCCCTTTCTCCAAAGGGACATTCTAAGCACATTCCTTGGCCCTGGGGACAGACTGACTCCGGAGGTCACCCTGTGCCTGCGCACACAGGAGAGTCTGGTGCACTTGCTGCTGGGGTTCTGGGTTACTGGATACCTGACTCTGTCTTCCTCTCCTGTGCAGGGGAAGGGACCATTCCTGTGGAGTCGAGTGACATTGTGCCCACGTGGGATGGGATCCAGCACGGGGAGCGCTTACGCACCATGTCCTGCAGCGACAAAATCCTGCGCTGGAACGTGCTGGGCTTGCAGGGGGCTTTGCTGTCACACTTCCTGGAACCAGTTTATCTCAGCTCTGTGACACTTGGTAGGAGACCCACCATCCTTCCTGGCCTGGGCTGGATGTGCTGCCCTGCCCCATAACGCTGGGCTGCAGTGACAAGGAACCTCCCTTCCCCACGAGATGAGCAAGCTTTGTTGTGGAGGCTGGAGGAGTAAGGGGCTGAAACGTTGTTCTTGGCAGAGCTGTGCTGCTTGGAAGTGGAGAAGGGAGTTTTTTCCCTGTCTGCTGTGGGTGGAGTGGGTTTTCTCCAAGGTTCTTGGTTTTCAGCAGGCACATGTGATCTGGGAGGGCGAGACAGAAACTGCCTGTTTGTGTCTTGGGTGAAAAACATGGCAGTCTTTAAACCTTCCTCTTACACATCCAGGGTGCACGTCGCTGAGCCACGTGGCTGTGAGCTTTCTGGAGCTCGTGAGATGCTCTGTGGCTCTCAGGCCTTGGCCTGTGCTGGTCCTGCTTCCTCATGCCTCTGGGTCTGCCCCTCCGCAGGTTACTTGTACAGCCAGGGTCACTTAACACGTGCGATCTGCTGCCGCGTGGCCAGGGACGGGAGCGTGCTGCAGGACAGGCTCCGGGCTCCGTTTCACATCAACCATCCGGAGGTACCGTGGCCTTGGCACCTCTTCATCTCTCCATCCCCACGTCCACCTCTGGCCATGGGGCCTCCCGGGGGGCATCTCCTGCAGCAGCTCTGCAGCCAGGCTCAGGGGGTCGATCCCTGAAGCCCGGGCGGGGGGGGGGTCATGGCAATCACTTGCTCTGGGGGAAAAGGAGACCAAGGTCCCCTGTTCGGAGCGAGCTGGTGCAGCAGGATTGGTGCTGAGGCCCCCTCTTGCCTGTGGTGCAGGTTGGGCGGGTGAGTGTCTATGACTCCGCACGGCAGACGGGCAAGACGAAGGAGTCCTCAGTGAACTGGTGCCTGGCTGATGAGAGCGAAGTCGAAGTCCTGGATGGCACCAAAGGGAAGGTCGATGGGTAAGATGAGCCTTTCCTGATGCTGCTGCTCGGGCTGGGGGAAAGGGGCAGCTCTGAAGCTGTGGGCACACTCTGTGCTTGTACCAGCACCTTCTGGGGGGGGAGGGCTGGAAGCAGCAGTGCCCTGCTGAGACAGGAAGCCTCCCTGCTCCTCTTTGCTCTTCTGAGGGTCACATCCTTCATTGCTGCCTTTGTCTTCCTTCTCAGCCCCAAGCTGGACGTGTCTCGTGTGTCCAAGAGGAAAATGTTCACCCTGTTCCAGCAGTTGTGTGCCAAGAACAACCGCCGAGACCTGCAGAGCCTCTTGGTGTACTCGGATGCTAAGGAGGCAGCCAGGGCGTACCAAGAGGCCAAGCAGAGCTTCTTCAGCACGCTGGAGGAGATGGGCTACGGCAGCTGGAT